GGCTCAGTCTGAAGTCGTCATCCAGACACAGAGGAAGCAAGATGAGAATGTCTTGCTGATAAAAGGTACCAAGCCATGTGGCTAAACAGACAAGAATTATGGGTTAATTTAAGATGTAAGAATTAGTTAAAAAGAAAGCCTGAACTACTAGGCCAACCAGTTTATAATTAATGTAGACCTCTGTGTGTTTCTTTGGGACTGAAAGGCTGTGGAACCGGGCAGGACAGAAATCTCAGCCAACAGCAGCCACCTCTTTTTTGGATCATGTTCATCTCCTGGAAATCCCTTCCTGCTCCACGGCAATCAATGTTTATCTTCCCTTCCACTATGTTGCCAGCCTGCCTCACTACCCAGCAGGTCACCCTCACCTTTTAGCATTTGTCTATCGTTTGAGCCCCAGAATTGGGGAGGAGCAGTGATGGCCTGGCCTTCCTGCCCAAAGGATATTTCTGGCATTCCTGTACTGGGCTAGGATGCCCCAAAGAAGGGCTGGGAATTTGACTGCTGCTTGAAAAGGGTCTTAGCATGAACCCTCAACTCCCTGGCTAATGCAGCCCCTCCCCAGCTCTTCCCTTTCTTTACCAGTACTGTCTAGCCATGTCAGCTGGTGGGGTCTACACTGCAGTGTGCTGTGCACGATGCTACCTCCCTAGGAGCACTTCGGCTGGAGTTCAGGGCATTCGTGTCCACCCTTCTGGAGTAGAAGTGAATCCTCGGAAGTATTAAGCTCCCCAAGCTAGAGATTGGCAGTCACCACTGCTGAGGTGCCCCATCCTTCAGGCCTGTGCCTGCTCTAGGTAGATGTGTGGCTCAGGCAAGCTCTCATTTGGCTGAACTGTGCCCAGACCTCAGGGAGGCTCCAAGTGCTTCACCTGCAGTTCCTGCTTACTCCACAGTCTCCACCCTCTGATCCTCTCCTGTGTCAGCATCCTGGATGGGGAGTGTTGGTCAAGCTTGTCTCTCTTCATGGGTCTCATAGTCAGAACCTCACCTGTGCCAGCCTTCAGTGACATTTACTTGTGTTTTTCCTTACACATAACTGACCCTAGTCACAGATGGAGAGACCTGCCCCCCACTCCCCAAACCTAATATACTCCTGCTGCTGAGAATCCTGGGGCAGAAGGCTATCCTATGAACCCATCTGGCCCAGCACTGTTGTTTTAGAATGGAAATCAAGACTCAGAGAGAAAAGCACCAGGCTAAAGCAGTGGTCACACATAACAGCTTGGGAGGGGGTTATAAGCTTCCTGGTGGCAAGTGCAGTGGACTAGCAGGTCCCTGAGAGTAAGCCGAGGAGGGAGTGTAGAGAGGAGAGGGGTGTGCAGCCTTGGAGGTTTATTCTGGGCACACAGATGTTCTCCCTCTAATCCTTACCCCCTCCTTTCTTTTCCAGCAGCAGCTACAAAAGCCAGGAAATAGATGTGGATTGATGGCCTATAATGGGCTTAGTTAGTGCTGTGACCTGCTGAGTTATGTAAGTCCTATTTATGATCGGCTTGGATGAAGTGTCCATTGAAGCAACTCACTAAGCTGATTCCATGACATTTCCTTTAGCTTGCCCAGAGGCGGCAGCAGAAATTCCTCTGCAACTTCAAAGAACAGAAATTATGATGTGGACGTTTTCAAAAACCCTTAGACCGATGTTTCTCTTACCCATCTCAAAACCTGCAACTTCAGCACCAGTCCCAGGTTGGGTCTCCTGGACTTCTAGGCTACAGGCTGCCTTGGTGGAGCTGACAAGGTATTTTTCTGCCCCTAGTGAAGGGGTGAGAGATCCAAGGCAGCGAGAAAGCACAGCAAGTCAAGAGTTTCAGGCTCATCTGTTGTTGCTGCTCTTGGTGTTGATGCTTGCCCAGTTTCCTTCCATCTCTAAGACCCCCAGGAAATGGAAGTGCTCGAGAGCCCAAGAGTCAGAAAAGCATGCTTTTAGTGAAGAATGCTTTATGCGGCTGCTCCTAGTTCTTTGTGAAGAACCTTAGGTGGCTTCTCCAAGGAGGAAGCACAGATGCCCCCCACCCCAGCCTGCCTCCACAGATGCAGACTAAACCAGAGAGCATGGAAGGCCAGTAGCTGAAAATTCACTCCCAAACTTGGAACTCAAAGCACAGACCTTGTCTGGGACGAGCCAAAGGTAAAAGAAGGCAGGCTTGTTTGAGAAGGGCTGTGGGAAAGGGAACAAGCAGCTGCATGGAAGGACAGGTGTCTTGCTGATTGTTGAGTAATGCACGATCTCATGAGTTGCTGCAACAAAGAATCTCGAGACCATCACTGTGGTGCTGACAGGAAAACCCAGTTTCTGAACAGTTACTCCACTTTGGGTTGTCTGCACCTGCGATGCCCTGCTAACACCTCCAAAGATTCAATTTTGGCCTGGTGGTGGTGGCACACACCTTTAATCCCAGCACTCGGGAGGCAGGTGGATCACTGTGAGTTCGATGCCAGCCTGGTCTACAGAGTGCCAGGATAGGCTCCAAAGCTACAGAGAAACCCTGTCTCGAAAAACACACAAAAAGATGCAATTTGCCTTCTTGCTTGGGCAGAGTAACGCTAAGCTTTACATCCTATCAAAAGCACAGACGACTCCTGGACACCACTTCCCGCTCCGTTGTGCATCTGATGTTACTGTTTTACTAAGCTCTGTGTCTGTTCTCTGCTCATTTATAAGTGCTCAGCTTGGTTTTTTATAAAGCATTATAAGCAACAGGTATCAAGTATGCTTCAATGGTTATTGTCAACCTTACCACTATTTCCATGCTCCTGTCTGTCTTCATAGAAATTAAATTAGCTCTTAGATGTTAAACAGTCTTCCTTTCATTTTCATTTTCAGGATCAATCTCCTTTTCCTTATATTGGGGGTGGAAGGCAACAAGAAAAGGTCTCTGACAGGGTCAAGGTACTGCTGCCTCTTTGGGAATCACCTAAATCTTAGGACCACAAAAGCCTTAGAACACTGATGAACAGATGGGAGTTCCTGCAGCCAAATGTCCTTATTTTTTTTATTAATTAATTAATTAATTAATTTATTATGTATACACTATTGTCTGTGTGTATGCTTGCAGGCCAGAAGAGGGCACCAGACCTCATAACAGATGTTTGTGAGCCACCATGTGGTTGTCGGGAATTAAACCTTTGGAAGAGCAGGCAATGCTCTTAACCACTGAGCCATCTCTCCAGCCCCTAAATGTTCTTATTTCAAGGGGACAACATTCAAGTGTTCAACCCCTGCTTTGAATATACAGTCACAATACTTGATTACATGTCACCATTTCTGAGTCAGCTTTCCCTATCAACTTATATTCCCTGAAGGTGTTTTACTGATCTACATACCTGACCTCTGGGACCCCCAAAAGCTAGCTTCTGAATGTCCTGCAGGGTTAGGGTGTGTTGCACTGTACACATTACCTTATTTGGCAAGTGAAGAATTATGGGGTGTTATAGCAAGGGCACACAGCAGTTATATAACTATTAGAGGGTCATAAATGAGCAACCAGTGGACCAGGACTCCAACGCAGGTCTTACCCTACATGTGCAGAAGCCTCCATGTCTGGTTAGACTGGTTTCAGTATTTGCTGAGGTACCCTTTCATCTGTCAGACCTGTTTATCAAAAGGGAAGGTATTTTCAATGGCCAGGCCTCTGGATCACTGGGGTCAGTGATGCTCTCCACAGGGGTTCTCCGTAGATCACTTGTGAATTTATGGGCACACACTTGGAAAGACTAGATGATATGAAAATGACCCTAGGTATGACGAGAAAAGCTAATGGGCCAGGCGGTGGTGGTGTTTGTCTTTAACCCCAGCACTTGTGAGGCAGAGGCCAGCCTGGTCTACAGAGCGAGTTCCAGGACACTCAGGACTACAGAGAGAAACACCAGACAAACAAACAAAAAAAGGCTAATAGCATCTTTCTACGAAAACTAAGAGAAACTGTCTTACCAAGCAAATACAGGCTCATGAGAGGAAATCTCACTTACCCCTTTAAGGTGGCACTAAGTTTACAGTACCCTAATTTTCAACTGCCCAAGCCTGAATCAGAAAAGGAGGATTATGAAGCTGAGGTGGGGGTAACCTCGCAGTTACCACACAAAGACCACAACAGCCAGCGATGAATGAAGCTTTGTCTCCTGGGAAACAAGATGTTTGGGACTGCAGCTGGGCTGCTCTCATTCTTGTAAGTAAATGTTACCAGCCTGAAGATCAGAATCACTTGGGTAACTTGAGATGGGCAAAAGAAGGGAAAACCTTACTGTATGGTAGCTCCCAGAGCAAATCATGGACATAGCTCCCTCTTCTGGTCTGACTGAGATTCCTGATCCCAGAGTCAGGGTATATATTGTCCTCCTATATATTTAGGGCCTAAACTCAGATCATAACTTTTATTTTTGTGAGTGGAAGCTATTTTGTTGCTTTTATCATGACAAAAAAAAATCAAAAATCTCAGTTATTTGGATACAGTGTCTTTTTGATAAATTTTTAATTCTAAATATTCCAATACCCCTTAACCCACTACCAATGGATGACCTTGAACAAGTATATCAACACGTCATTAAAATCTACACTGAGCTAGGCGGTGGTGGCACATGCCTTTAATTCTAGCAATTCAGAGTCACTGGCAGCCTGGTCTACAGCCAAGGCAGTTATACAGAGAAACTCTGTCTCAAAAAAAAAAAAAAAAAAAACAACAAAAAAACAAAAAACAAACAAACAAAAAAACAAACAAAAAATCCACACTGCAACATATCTCCTGACACTTGGTATAATTCAACTGCAGGAGGCTGAGGGCAGGTTTCACTCAGCACTCCTACCAGTCAACTGAATGCCCTACTGACCACGGCCACGTGTCATCTGTACCGTGAGTCACACTGCTCACTTTTTAGCCAGTGCCAAATAACAATCTTGGCTCTCAGAAATGACGTTTCATGGGACATATTATTGGACATTCTGATAAAAACCAAGTCTAGAGCCCCAAGAAAGATAAAAACAAAGCACACTGAACCTCACACATGTTTCATATACATATTTATATATATTTCATGTACAAAGTTACATTCTGAATCCCAGGGATTCCGTAATAGAAATAAATACTGAAATAACTACATTGCTAATGAGCTTTTTACTCAGAGAAATGAAGCCTCGGCCTCTAAGAGACAGCATATGGGACACTCTAGAACCCAATCTTATGAGGCAAGTAAAGTTCTGATGTCTAGGACAAAAAGAAATTTAGGACATAAACAGTTAAAACATATTCAAATATTGAGAAATAAATGACAAAATTATTAATAAAACTTCATTTTTAAGAGAAAAAAAGACAATTAGTGTTACAGAATAGCACAACCCTGTTAGAAAAGCATTTATGATTTCAACATGTATTTCCTTCTCTTCCCATGCATCCAAATGGGACACCACCAACCCCTTTCCTAACATGATCAATTAAGAAGAACCCTAAATCTGGTTGAGTCCTTTGGTAATAGTCATAATACTTACTAGGAAATAAATATCCATCTCCATGGCATTTGCAAGACACGCATTCTTTTTAGGTTAATATGAGGCATTTTGTTTTGTTGCAAAGGCTGCATGTTAAGTCTCCTCTCAAATTCATAAGAACAATGCTACAACTGAGCCCATAGTGTAACCTTTCCACTCACACACATTCCAGCTGAAGAGAGGTATGCTGCGCCCTCTGTGCTGGAACGTTTTACACTCCCAGCAAGCTGCAACTTGTAAGAGATACATTATTATTTTATCAGTTTGGATCTACACCAGTTAGAGAAACATGGTCTCAATACTGACTTTCTAAAAAACAGTTTCCTTTAGCCTCCTAGAGACTTTAGCCTGCATTTCTAGTGTCAGGTTGAGACATATGCTGCTGTTCTTTTTATAGACCAGCTATGACTGTGCATTGATAATTTCAGATAGTTCACCTTCATATAGAACCAGATGTAACAAAATGAGAACTCTCAGTACTCTGCCTTCTTCCTCTAAGATTTTTACATGGGAGACTGCCCAGAGGCACTCAACCTCCTCTGCCCTGTAGAGGCTATGACAGTTTATACCCCTTTACTGCCTGTGAACAGCTTACATCCCGCTATTTCTTCCAAAGATTACCCCCTTGACAAAATAAACATCACAAGAATATATATGTTATGGGGGGGGGGGAAGAAGAGAAGCAAAACTATCAACACAAGCACAGCCCTTAAAACAAGCTGCGCAGTGCATTTGCTCTCTCCGGTCCCTGAAGTGATCCACAGGACCACGGTGATTTGGGATCATTAGCTAAAATCACCACACACCTACAGCCTGTGAGTGAAGTCAACCCCACTAAGTTTCAAAGAAACAATTCCAACCAGGGTACCAACACATTTGCATGTTTCTTCTTTAGCTCCCGGTTTCCTGGTTTCCACTGGACCACACAAACATGTAAAGAGCTTCCGAACAATGATAAGGGTGTCTGACTCTAGGATACTGACTTCGTGGGATTAAAAGTTCCAGAAACTTTGGTGTCTCTTTATGAATTTTTTACAACATTTCCAATAAAGGCTAATAATGCTTTTTTAAGTATTTGCCTCAAATGACTCATATTTAAAATAAAGATATAGCAAACAAGCGATGGAAAAGTGGTCAGCTCTGAAGAAAAAATAATATGTAGATCAAACATATTATCCTCTATACAGCTTTATCAAAACAGGTGTTTTTCTTTTAAAACATACAGGCCACAATTTTAAAGTGTGCTCAGTGTGCTTATTGATACAAAAGCCTCCTAGGCTCATTAAGTCTCATGTGTTTTAGGATCTAGCCTAACCACATATATGCAAAAAAATCACTGGTATACTTTTTACAGATATCTCTGTGTCACAGTCTGGGGAAAAAGTTCCTTGGAGTTCCTTGGTACTTAAGAATGCTTAGACATTAGAGACTTGTGTTTGATATCTTGTCTATGAAGTGGTCTGGTTCTTCCAAGAAAACTGAAGAACCTGTTTCCTGTATGTTTTTATTTTTAAAACAGCACATAAAATTATGTTTAACTTTGTTTGTAGCAGTGGGTAAGAAATGGTAAATCATACATTTTAGGAATTTCAGGAATTTTCCTTGATAGAGGAAAAAACCGTATAGATCACGGTTTTTGAAAACTCAAAAGGTTATCAGTTAAAATTAAATTTAAACCCACTTTTTCAAATGGATACCACGAATGAAAAGATTAATGCTGACTTTGCTGGCTGTACAGCATTTCCCTTTGAAGATGCCATTTTAAGCCAACAAGGATGCAAACGCTGAAGCGTTATTTATACCAAGCAAACACTAACTGCTTGGTAGTCTTATCCAGAACAAAATAAATCAATTTTCCTAATCATTCTGCTGTCAGCTAATTGGGTTGACTCCACAGTCACCACAGTGTCCCCTCCTTAACAGTGTAAGAGCAGCCTAGTATCTGGCTAACAGGTACATTTTTTCCATGGAAAAACCTGAATCAACTACCACCATCCTCTAGGACAAGAGTACATAACACAACCTCCTTGGAGAACATCCCCCAGTACTGAAGTGCTCTCTACGCTTCCCAGAATAGTTCTTAAACTTCAAATAATACATTACTTAAATGTCAGTATGAAAATGGGTGAAACCAATCTAAAAAATTAGAATATTCAGAGAAGCAGGCTTCATAAACTTTAGAGTTCTAGTGAGATAGGAACAAGAAATTTTATTTAAATAGTGTAACCTTAATTTCTTTAATATAAAACCCCACCAAATCTGATGAAAACAAAGTTTTATATACCATATAAACAAGATTTGTCAGAATTGAAAGTGAAAGTTAAAGTAATTTACAGTTAGCTTTTAGCCCTCTTGGGACATTTAGATAATCCTGATAATCCATCTGTTATTAGTGTATCACTTCTATAATACACCGGGGAAAACTCTATACTCTGTACTTCATGGTACAGTTTCATTTATTAAGTCTTTTCCATTAGTTCCATTATTAGTGACAGCTAAAAAGTGACCTTATCAATTAAGTGAGTGACATTAGACTGTGGCAGAGCAAACCACATCTGGATTGCTTTCTGTAATTCACCAGTTTGCAGAAAGTAAACATCCTTTGATTTGTTCATGATATACTGAAATTGCCTATTAACACTGGTGCAGTAAACTAGCTCGCTCCTCTGTATTGTTACCATAGGACAGATTTTGTAATATAAAAGTAGCAGGGGAAAAATGCTCACATATTGTGTGGTGAAACGTCTTTCACAAAAAGAGCATTTAAATAAGGGGGGAGGGAAAATAAATCATGCAGAAGAGGCAGCTTCCTCGTCTCCGCCTGTCTCTTACGGACTCATTCACTGCCACACATCACTTGCCACACTATCAGGTGACTCCTTTCTGCTTTGGTGACCGAAGGTTCCAGTGGAAGATCCTCTCCCAGAAGTTCAGATTCTCCACCTTCATCACCTAATGGATCATAAGGAGACTGAAGTTAGCTTAGAAGCAGAAAATACAGAATGATGTGAACTGGACTCACAGTAGCCTATGAAGATGATTTGTTTGACTTCTAGTGCAGAAACACAGTAAAGAATACCAGGGGGCTGGAGAGGTGGCTAAAAGATTAAGAGCACTTGCTAGTCTTCTGGAGGACTAGCAAGTTTGGTTCCCAGCACCCATGTTGGGCAGCTCAAAACCATCTGCAACTATAGTTCCTAGGGATCTGACTTCCTTTTCTAGCTTCAAAGGGCACGCATGCACGCAAAAATGGAAAAATAAAAAGTAAAAGAGTTAGGGGCCAGTGAGATAGCTTAGTGGGTAAAAACCTTTGCCACCACATGGTGAAAGGAGATAACCTATTCATGCAAACTGCCCTCTGATCTCCATATTATATATACGCTAAATGTAATAATGACAGAAAATACCAATATCTGAATCTTCACTCAAAGCACTGCCTGATTTCTGAAATTCCTTTTCCTTTCATTCACGAAAGCTAGTCCACAGTACTATGCCGACAGTCATCACAACGTCTGTTCACACGATAACAGAAATGGGAGACAAAAGAGCCAATGTATCTAGTTCTGTGTTTGTCCAAAACAGATATTCTACTCTTGTTTATTTCAAATTAAGAAAGCTTAATAAATATGGAACATACTAAGACCAGGATGTTGTACTGATTCTTGGAGATCAGGGGTACAGTTCTCCAGTTGAGACACTGAGTACTGAACAGGCACTGCTGCTCCTCTCCACAAGCTTGCAGTAGTCAGCTCTGCTGTGCACAGCAACGTTATTCTGGTACAATCTAGCTGACAACTTGTTTAGTGGGATGAATTAATTCTTCAGCAGAATCCTAAAAATGTGCACACTAAGAAACAAAGATATTCCACTGATGTACTGGGATTTTGCAATGTTCCCATTTGATTTTCGCAAAAGAAAATGGCACCACTGACTAGAAATAGAGGAAGGGAGTAACTGAATATATGTACTTTTCTATGCAAGCAATTTTCCTTTTCCCCTCCCCGCGATGACTTTTTCACAGCAAAGGCAAAATATGGATAACATGCTCAGGTCAAAAGTCAGTCTCTCCAAAGGCCAGAAGAGGGCATCAGCGCCCATGGAACTGGAGAAAACCTCCATGTGGGTGTCAGGAATAAACCAAGGTTCTTTGGAAGAGCAGTCAGGGGTCTTAACTACTGAGCTGTTTCTCCAGGCCCATGTTTGTTTGTTTTTTAAAGATTTATTTCTATGTATACAGTGTTCTGCCTGCATGTACATCTGCAGGCCAAAAGAGGGCACCATATCTCACTATAGATGGCTGAGAGTCACCAAGTGGTTACTGGGAATTGAACTCAAAACCTCTGGAAGTGCAATCAGCACTCTTAACCTCTGAGCCATCTCTAAGTTTGGATCTTAAATTTAAAAAGTTTACAATGAGCCATGTTTTGTGGAGTTTGCCTTTAATCCTGACACACTGTAAGCAAAGATGGGCAAAACTTCAGTGAGTTCCAGGCCAGCCTAGTCCAGACAGTCAATTGCAAGCCAGCAGGGCTACACAATGAAACCGTATTTCAAAAAACAACAGAAGCAAACTACAATGGTGAAGACTAAGTGGCTGAGACAAAGGCTTCTGGTTTCTTGCTTTCTGAGCTGTTTTGAAAACATAATATATCTTGTTCCCCAGGATCCCTAAATTGTTTAATTTAACCTAAGTCCTTATAGCTTTGATAAATTCCTTATTGTTAAAACAACATAAAATGAGGCAGTGGTGGTGGCGCACGCCTTTAATCCCAGCACTTGGGAGGTAGAGGCAGGTGGATCTCAGTGAGTTCACCATGGTCTACAAAGTGAGTTCTAAGACAGCCAGGACTGTTACACAGAGAAACACTGTCTTGAAACACAAACAAATAAAAAACAACAAAACACTATTAAAATGAATAAGAACAACAACATTGAATTCAAGGTGTTTCTGTTGTTATTGTGTTGTTCTTTTAAGACAGTGGTTCACTCTGTACCACTGATGTCCTAGAATTCACTATGCAGCCCAGGCTCTACCTGCCTCTGCTTCCCAGGATGCTGATAGTAAAGGTGTGTGCTACCATGTTTTGTTTTTAAAACCAATATATTGACTATTAAAGCTGGCGTTTGCTTAAAAACACACACACACACACGCCCCCCCCCTTAAAAAAAACAACAAAGCAAAAAACACCCAAGTGTATTTTCCAGGCTGGATTGCTAGAGCGGTTGCCAAACCTGGCTAAGCAATTTGTATGCTATTTTCAGAGTCTGCAATGGAAAGCATTTAGCGGAGGTGGAAAACTGCAAAGATTTGACTAGGATATCTTCAGTATGATTCCAACTGCCACACAACACTCCAAGAAAAAGCTACAAAAATCACCCTAAGGAGAGTCCCTACAATTCCTTTCCATAAAACACTCCTGTGCCAGTGGTCAATTATTTTAAATGCTTTGAAACTCTGCTGTTCTTGCTGGCAGCAATCACTAAAATTTTCATTAATACCCTGGCCCCACAGAATTACACTAAGAGCGTTTGACATTATATGTTCTGGTTTATACTGACCACATGTAGCACACCGTCACTGATTAAGACACTACATTTTCTACCATGATAGGCATCTTTATTACATTCTCTACAAGCATTTAATAACTTGCATTTGAGAAATCATTAAATTACTAATACTCTTATTAGACTAGCCTTTCTTAGTGGTGGGCAGACATCTATTTTGACAGTACTTCTTTTTCCTTCTCTGTCTTCAGGCTGCGTCCATTTAGGTAGTGCTCTGTGTGAACACAGGACTCTCCACATCTACCAGCTAACAGTTCCTCATTGTGCTGCTTCTGTCTCAGTGGAGAGTGATTACCAGCGGACTCAATTCCCTTTTTCTAACACACTTCCATATCTCGTCTTGAACCTAAATACCTTCTACCCAAACCTAACTGCATTGCTCCTTCATTTCAAGTCCTGCAACCCTCCTTTGCTTGAAGGATAAGCACAAACTTTACTTGGTACGGTGGTCTGAATGAAAATGGCCCCCATAAATTCATAGGCAGTAGTGTTGGAGGAGTGGCTTTGTTGGAGTGGGTGGGCTCGGAGGTTTCAGATGCTCAAGCCAGGCTCAGTGGTTTATTCTCTCTGCCTCTTGGCTCCTTGTCCAGCAGTGTCACATCTGTTCCCCACATGACAACAATGGACTAAACCTCTGAACTACAAGACAGTCCCAATTAAGTGCTGCTTCCTTTATAACAGCTGCCCTGCTCTTCACAGCAATAAAACCCTACCTAAGGGATACTTAGGAAAATACTTTCTTTTTTCCTTCTTTCTGTCTAAATACCCACAAATATATACAGTATATGAAACTTTCCCTTAACTTATCTTCCTTTCTAGAGAAATGTGTACTCTCTGCTCTCCTCTTTTTAAAATATTTTCTTCAACTAACATGGTTTTACTTTTCTAGATCTTTAGTAAGATGAGGAAATGCTCAGTGTTAAAGCGCTTGTTTAAAATTTATCAAGTATTGGTTTCAATACCCAACACTGAAAAAAACCCAACGAACCTTACACAACAAGCAAATGAAACAAAATCACCTCAATTAAGTCATTTTTTAAAAAGCCAGGAGCTGCTAATCTTCACTCTTACCAGTTCCTGCCCCAATGCAACCCTTCAGGCTACCACTATTTGATACTGACTCAGTTCAAGCATTGCTTCTTCTATATTCTCACCATGGGAAGAGCTGACAACTCTCCACCAGAGCATTTGCAACATCTGAACTTGTTAACCACCTTCGCTCTGTACTGTTCTATAAAACCTATCAGAAGGAGTTTGGCTGGTGTGGCACATGCCTTTAGTCCCAGTGCTTGGGAGGCACAGGCAGGTGGATTCTGTGAGTTTGATTGGGTCCAGCCTAGTCTACACGAGCCAGCTTCAGGACAGCATAATAGAGAGACCTTGTCTCAAAAAGACTAATCATCATCATCATCATCTATTAAAAGGGGAATAGTGACTGATTTGTTTCCACATTTAAGTTTAAGGCTGATAGGCACAAGGTGAGAAAAAGAACAAATAAACAATGTGTTTTTTTATTTATTTATTTATTATGTACACAGTGTTCAGCCTCCATGTATGCCTGCACGCCAGAAGAGGGCACCATATCTCATTACAGATGGTTGTGAGCCACCATGTGGTTGCTGGGAATTGAACTCAGGACCTCTGGAAGAGCAGTCGGTGCTCTTAACCTCTGAGCCATCTCTCCAGCCCCAATAAACAATGTTTTATTAAGTATTTTTATTTCTTCCTTTTGTGGGTGAGAAAACAGATCCTGGGAGAGTAGATTTGTTCAAAGCCTCATGATTACAATTCTTCAGCTCTTCAGTCAAACCTTAATATATGGCCATTTGCAATTTATAATGGCTCTTTTAAATGAATACATCTGGTATGAAAGAAACACACATATACAGTATGTATGTATAGACAGAAAAACATGTGATCCTTTTTCAAGTAAAATATTGAAAGAGAACTTAGAAGTCATTATCAGAGTGCTTTCTTATTCACTATGGGTGAAAACCCAACTCACAGAGCACAGTGGAAACTGACCTCCAAGAACCAAAGACTTACCCATCCGGAAGTCAATGTAGCCTTCTCCCCCGCTGATGACAAGCATAGACTTCAAGGGTGTCTGGCTACTGGGCTCCTGTGCAGATGACCCTGCTTTGTCAGCTGTTAGATCTGTTCCGCCATTGCCACTCTGTGGGTTAATGACCTGACCTATTTTGTACAGGAAGGGAACAGTGAATATTACTTATCACAGACACAGGTAGGGGATGTTATTTTTTTCTTTACCTTTTTGAAGTTAAACAAAAGACAAGGTTGACTCATGCCTGTAATTGCAGCACTAGGAAGGGTGTGGCAGGAGGACAGTCTTGAGTTTTAGTGTAGACTAACGAAATCTTGATTCAATAAAGTTAAGCTGGACAATGTCCTGATTGTGTTTAAGGGCTCAGGAAACAGAGGCAGGATTATCTCTGTGAGTTGAAAGCCAACCTGATCAATGGAGTGAGTTTGAGGACTTCCAAGGATGCAATAAAAGCCAGCCTCAAAAGTTAGAAAAGGGGGCTGGAGAGATGACTCAGTGGTTAAGAGCATTGCCTACTCTTCCAGAGGTCCTGAGTTCAATTCCCGGCAACCACATGATGGCTCACAACCATCTGTAATGAGGTCTGGTGCCCTCTTCTGGCCTGCAGACATACACACAGATAGAATATTGTATATATAACAAATAAATAAATATTTTAAAAAAAGTTAGAAAAATAAAAAGGTAAATATTTATTGACACCCCCCGCTTGAGTATACAGTGTTAGGAACAGAGACTTTACATTAACAGAAAACCATTAAATGAAATTTTAAGAGACTAATTTAAAAATCTTGAGTAAACTAATTTCACAGTAAACAGGAACAGATGATCTTCAAAATCCAATGTGAGACACATATATGGCAAGGCGGATGTTAAATTACTATATTAAGTACTTTATATTATATAAAGTATATATTTATATATTTATATAAAAATATATATATATAAAGTATATATATATTTATATATATACTTTATATAAGTACTATATATTAAAGAACTATATTGTTCTACTTTTTGATCTAAGGGGCATAGAAAGTTTCCCTCCTAAAGGTATACATTTGGATTTAAGACAGAAAATCTACACTTAAGCCTAGGAATTGACATATTTGTGGTAGTTTGAATGAAAAATGTTGCTTATAAGGTCAGGTTATTTGAACACATGGTTCCCAGTTAGTGACACTGTTTAGGAAGGTGGTGCAGTCTTGTTAGAGAAAGTACATCACTAGGGGAAGGAGAGTCCATAGCTTTGTTCTACTTTCAGCTTGTTCTCTCTGCTTCATGGCTGCAGCATGGTGACACACACCTTTAATCCCAGCCTGTCCTATACCACTTCAGGGCAGCTGAAGCCCTGTCTCAAAAAAAGAAAGACAAGCTGAGATTTTCTCAGCTTCCTGCTGTCACAGTGTCCCTACTGTTATGGTCCCTAGCCCTCTAGAACTCTTTCTATTTTCTTACAGCAACAGAAAAATAACATAATATAATATTTTAAATCTATTTCAAATATATGCCCTTTCCTTTACAGTTAAGGTTTTTTTTTTTTTTTTTTTTTTTTTTTTTNAATTTTGCTTTCTTTTTTTCTTTTTGTGAGACAGGGTTTCTCTGTGTAGCCCTGGCTGTCCTGGAACTAGCTCTTGAAGACCAGGCTGACCTCGAACTCACAGAGATCCACCTGCCTCTGCCTGGGATTAAAGGCATGTGCCACCACTGCCTGGCGAAAAGTTTGTCTTTTTTTAACTTAAGAGTTTGCAAATAAAATTGCTGCTAAATGTGTTCTAAAGTTCAAACTCTAAGGTAGAATGTTTGATTATGAAATGGCAGGGGAGAGAGAAACCTTTACATATTATTCATGGTATGAACAACTGAACAATTTCCAAGATATTCCTCTTGGAGAACTTTGACTGTGGGCTGGGTCAGAAGCAGAGTGCTTGCCTAGCATGTATGAGGGCCAATGTCCAATCCCCAGAATTGTGGGTAGTGTGTGCATGTGTGTGAGAGAGGGATAAAGAAAGCTTTGACCAAAGAAAGCCAGCCTATAAACCACAATCCCAGAGAACTTAGACAACAATGCGGACACTAGGAGAGATGTATATAGATATAATCTACATGGGAATTAGAAAGTAGAAAAAGACAAGATCTTCTGAGTAAATTGGGAGCATGAGGACCTTGGGGGAGGGTTGAAGGGGGGAGGGGAAAGGCAGGGAGGGGAGCAGAGAAAAATGTAGAGCTCAATAAATATCAATAAAAAAAATACAAAAAAAAAAAAAGAGAGAAATCTTTGACTGTGAGAAGCTTTTTTTCCTTTTCAGAATCTGCTGTCCTTCAGTCAAATCTCAGACCACATGTCTTTGGGAACAAGCAGAACACAGTCATATGATGACTTTGACTAATATACTGTGACAAAATATTACCACTGATTTTCAAAAGTAAGCAGTACCCCAAGATATCTGCTTTAGGGAGTAGGGAGAGATTGCTAAATCACTCCAAGTAATCTACTTTACTCCAATCACATCTCCATTATAGAACTTCCTTGTGTACTGTCCTGAAATTGTGGGTTAAACAATAGTAAGTTAGTGTTTGGAAGGGTGGTAAAACACAGGAAGACAGACACAATGACATGGATGCCTCGACGGAAAATCTAACTCACCTGGGACTGCCACAAAGAATTTTACAGCATCCCGGTGTCCATGGAAACAAAGCTGTGCATGTGCCATTGAACAGTAGGGTATAAATGTCCCTGGAGTCACTTTATCACTGTTTTCATCACCATAGACACGGATTACACTTCCAGGACGATTACCTGGAGCCCCTGAGGTTTTATTTGCTGCAACAGAAAAAACAAATATCAAGTATTTTCTTCTAGAAAACAGTACTGATGTAAGAGGTTACTGGTTAATTCTTATGATATTATCTAAGAGCTACAGCCAGTTGAGGTAACGTAAGTGCAGCAACGCCAGCTCAAGGCAAAGCTGGAAAGAGATACAGCATGCCAGTTATTTTTAAGTACTTCAGTAATGGAATAGGGGATTTTGCCAGTCTAGCAATAACTAAGCTTCTATCAACGTGAGGGAAGCCATCATAGTAAACAAAACAGAATTGAATGGCAGTCAAATCTATTTAGTTTTGCTTTGTAGTCCTTATTAAAGGGAACTAGGCATTATATACTGAAGTGCATAAGTATGTTCTTAAGTAAGATGTTTACAGTTTATTTTCTGATTTTTTTCGCCGTGGGAAAGGGTGGGGAAGCTTTGCTTTGAAGAACCCAGGCATTACCACAAAGAAGCTTGCATTTATGCCAGGCTGACAGTTTGCTGGAGTCCTATAGAATGGCCAGACTTACAAAATGCCCCTGCTTCCATGGGTAAGTGAATGAAAGAAACATGATCGGTAACAAGAGTAAACAATGTAGATTAATGACAGTTTTAAGAGATGTTTCATGTTTTTATTGGAAGGAAAACCAAGTCTGAAAGAAAGTTTAGCTGCAACAAAAGATGATCAATAGACTAAGCTGCTGAGCAGTTGGTGGCTATGTAAGAAATGTTTAAAGTAAAACAAAACAAAACAAAACACCTGCTGCAATGCAGTGACTGCAAGTGGGTGACACTGGACAACATTCAAGAGGGTGTTCTAGATAGGATAGGAGGAGATAGCCTCACAGTGGCTCCAAGAAGCCAGGAAGGAGAGTTTGGTTCCGGATCTGCACTTACCCCTCAGCCCCAGTAAACGTCCCTGGTGGAGGATTACGGCTAAAGTGAGAAAGGAGGAAAGGGGACATGGGGAGGTGCACGACAGGAAGGAGACGCGTTACTGTGAGCTGCCACTCAGCTTCTTCTATGTGGCCCTACCGAATTACGGCAACCTGGCAGAACACCAGACAATGTAATGTGCTTGCCAAGGCCTCTACAAACGCCTCTACTCAAAAACAATCATTTATTATTTCATGAAGTCATTCCAGTATAACAGAAAAATGATGTGGAGTGCATACTAAAATTCTCTCTTAGTCTACCCAAAAGAAACCACCTTTGAATAATTATGCTAAAATACAACTCTCTCTTAAAGCAAGAAGATAATCCAGACATCTTAGAATGTCTTAAGTTTTAAGAAGGGCTCTGAATATGTAGACCTGTAACTAACTGCACAAAAACAAGGAGATATTGAGAACATAGATTCTTTAAGGGCTTCAAATCCACCTTCTGGTATTCTTTCTTCTCTTCCATTGAACAAGGGGATTTAATAATGTATTTGATGGACTTAAGGTGCTTTCTTTCCCCCAAACTATTCCTTGCCCGTGCAGTTTGCAACACAAAAACACTTAATGGATGATCAATGTAATGGAATGTCATATGCGGAACATACAAGCTCTAATTTTTTTCTCCAAAATAATAAAGCACATTCCTTTCAAACAGACAACTTGTCTTCAGTATAAGGAAAGGCTCAGTGATCTCCTGAGACTTACACAAGTTAAAAAAAAAAATCTCAAATACAACAAATGGGATAGCCATAACTATTAGCCAGAATGAATTAAACTATGATGAATGGAATGTAGTGTTTCTGAATATTGGTATAATAAAGCTGAAGAGGAATGGACATTTTACTTTAAAGGTGAAATAGGGCTGACTCCTGACCTGAGAAGAAGAGCTTCCAATGAGAACGCTGAAATATGGACACTGGTCCAGATACTTATAAGGTAATATTGTAGTTTGTAAACTGATTTCTGCATTGTCACAGATTTGCCAAATCTAAATAATTCCTTCAATTATGAATTATGGGCATCCCTATTTCTTGCAATTCTTTGACTTGCGACAGCTATTTTAAAATATACTTACTTTCTGTCAGTGGGATGGAGATAATGACTCCGTTTCCTGTCCCCACCCACAAACGATTGCAAGACACCATAAGAGCTGTTATCCTCACAAAAGAAAAGCCCAGTTTCCCAGTACCTGTAGGGGAAGGAGAGAAAGAATAGCTTATTGAGAAACTAGAGGGTTTCAGATTCAAATTTCTAGGAGGCTCTGGCTTAAAAACAACAAAGAAAAAGTTTGCTGGAAAGGTGTACATTAAAGCAGACTCTTTTGTGTGCATGTGTATGACAACTAGGGTGGTTTTGAACGAACTATGTAGCCAAGGCCAACTCTGAACTTGTGATCCTTCTCCCTTTAACTCACAAATGGTGCAATTACAGGTGAGTGCTGGGGCTGTGGGAGGGTACCACTATGCTCAGCGCACAGCAAACTCTTATTTGGCTTTATTATTTGACAAGTCAAGGATAAAGTAAAAGATGGCTGGCATTACTTTATCGACCAGAAAGAAGTACAAAGGAAATAATATATCAAAAAATACAGACCAAAATTTAATTAAGGGAGCTACAGACACAAATCAAACCCAACATAAGACAAAGTAAAGCAACAAGAACCCAAAACTTCGAGTTTGCTAGATTAGGAAATCAAATGTTATTTTATAAACTGAAAATTAATTTGTTTTAAATTTCTTTACATGCATTAAAAAAATCAACCTTTGCTAAAACATACCTTTTCTCTTGTTTATATACTTAGGCTCTAATCAGCTTAGAAGTATTAGAATATCATATAAAAATTTTAAAAGAATTTTTGCAATTGATTTCATTTTCAGAGATTAGAGAAGTATAATGATTAAATAAATAAAACATTTGAGACAAACATCAGTCATTCAAAGAACTAAGATCCTGACCTTACAAATACTGAAGGAAGCAATCTTAACTCCCATTCAGCCTATGCTAGGAATCTTTAAAAAAAAAAAAGTTTTTTAAAGATTAATTTTATTTTAGGCATGAGTGTTTTGCCTGCCTATATATATGTACACCACTCACATGCCTGATACTTGCTGAGGCCAGAAGAGGGTGTCCAAACCCCTAGGACCAGAGTTACAGATGTTTGATCAACTGCTATGTGGGTAGTACTGGGAATCAAACCTAGGTCCTCTGCAACAGCAGCAAATACTCTTAACCTCTGATTCATCTCTCCAGCTCTAAGCTAGGAATCTTTAACCAATAGTCAAAGTACAACTTTAAAATAAATTGTGCATCTTTTTTTGTTGTTGTTTTTTTGAGACAGGGTTTCTCTGTGTAGAACTGGCTGTCCTGGAACTCACAGAGATCTGCCTGTCTTTGCCTCTAAAGCTACAGAGAAACCCCATCTAAAAAAACAAAACAAAACAAAAACCAAAAAACCAAAACCCATCAGAGAACAAGACCAGAGATTTTTCCTGCCTTTCCTGGGGTTTCATCTCTGGGGTAGAAACAATAAACAAAAGTCACATAATATGGGTGCAATCACACTAATGCTAAACCTATGAAGATGATAGGTTGGGTGTGGTGACACACACTTTTCATCCCAGCTCTTGAGAGGCAGAGGCAGGGAGATCTCTGTGACTTTCAGGCTAACCTGGGCTATACAGTGAGACCCTATCTCCCTCTTCTTGTTTTTTTTTTTTTTCTTAAAAAAAAAAAAAGAACCTAAATAAAGATTCCTCTTCAATATGACACGAGAACCTTAGAGTACGTAAACAAAACCACAAAATACCTGCTAGGCCAAGGATACATACATAGAACATGTGAAGGCCCTGTCAATGTGGGCAGAAGGATGTAGGCACTGAGATTAGTCTAGACCACGTAAAGTCTCCTGGTAAGATCTAAGTGTCAACTGGCCTAGAGGCTAGAGCCAAAGTACATCAAGATGAAATTTTACATTGTTTACTATGTAGAGAACAGATTAGTATAGGAACAGGGAGACAAGTTAGGAAACAAACGTTATCAAAGGGAAAAAGGACAGTGACCTGGCCTAAGAGGATAGTGATCAAGATAAAGTAACTGACATAAGGCAGTTTCAAACTTGACAGAGTTCTACGTCATCAAAATTGGAAGGAATAAGGGGAAGACAAAACAAAAAATTTCTAGTGGAGAACATTGGAGCATCTGTCTGATACTTCCAGTGATGAACTTATTCAGTGATTTTCTCAGAGCATTAGAAGAGGATGGAGGTGTAAGTTAGTTACGGTAGCCCATCTGCTCAGCGTATACCACAATACTGCATAAAACAAAAACAGAGCATTCTCACTGATTTTCAAAAAGAAAACACTATGGAAGCTTACCTAACATTTTGCTTACATAAGGTTCAATGTCCACATCCTGGAGATGTTGGTATGTGTGTGCATGATAGAGACGGAGTGTGGAATCCAAACGAATGGAGACCCACACACCATCACCCACCCATGCAAGCTGCCGTACTTGGCTCTCCTTCCTGGGGTGTGCATCAAATGATTTCTAGAAGAGATGTTTAATAATGAAATTACTTTTGTTGTTGTTTTTTTTAAGACAAGGCTTCTCTGTGTAGCCCTGGCTGTCCTGGAACTCACTTTGTAGACCAGGCTGGCCTCAAATTCAGAATTCTGTCTGCCTCTGCCTCTTAAGTGCTGGGACTAAGCATGCACCATCACTGCCCAGCAAATGGAATTACTTTTGTCACACAGGAAGTCACTTAAAAAGTTCATCCACCCAACAATCTGAAGACTGTTTATTAAAGGGCCTAAATTTGCTTATCTTCTATGACTGTTCTTCCCATTAGTTCTTCTACCATAGAATGTAACACACACATATATATTCAAATAAGAACAAAAGATCAAACAGTAGTACATGGTGGCCGACACCTGCAATCCTAGCACTTGGAAGTATGAGACAGGAAAGCTGCCGTGAGATCAAGGTCAGAGTGAGATTCTGTTTCAATAGTGAGACATTAACAACAGAACCAAGTGTTGGGTTTCAGCACTATACAGGATGTTTCCTTATATAAACAATGCTGGCCATGTGCCAGTGTTTAGAAATGATGATTTCAGGATTTGGTTCTGCAGTGAGAAGTAAGATCCTATTGTAACTAAACGAAAAGGAACCCACACTGTTATATGAGGAATGGTTGGCAGAGGGGGTAGCTATTGAGACAAGGTGTTATCATATGTAGCCTAGGTTAGTCTCTGATTTGTTGCCATCCTTTTACCTTAGCCTCCCAAGTGCTAGGATTAACAGGAGTGTGCTATCATGTCTAGCTTTAACTGTGAGATTTCTAAGGAAGAAAATGAGATACGGGGCAGGGAGAAATAGAAATTTCACCTTAAAACTTTCCTACTGTAATTTTTTAAATAATCAGAATGGATACATTATGACCAAAATTTAGATTTTTTTTTAACAAAAATTTTCACTATAATGCTATTTTTCTCGGTTTGTGATATGAATGCAAATGAATCTGAATGTACACGGAATAGGCAAAGGGAACTAACTTAGGAATTCTCTCAACCAATCCTTATATAAGCAGACCTATTAAGAACTACATATTTGGGCTGGAGAGATGGCTCAGTGGTTAAGAGCACTGACTGGTCTTCCAGAGGTACTGAGTTCAATTCCCAGCAACCACATGGTGGCTCACAACCATCTGTGATGAGATCTGGCGCCCTCTTTTGGCGTGTGCGCATATATGCGGGCAGAATGTTGTATACATAATAAATAAGTAAATCTTTTTTTTAAATATTTATTTATTTATTTATTTATTTATTTATTTATTTATTTATTATTTATACAGTATTCTGTCTGCTTGTATGCCTGCAGGCCAGAAGAGGGCACCAGACCTCATTACAGATGGTTGTAAGCCACCATGTGGTTGCTGGGAATTGAACTCAGGACCTTTGGAAGAGCAGGCAGTACTCTTAACCGCTGAGCCATCTCTCCAGCCCCTAAATAAGTAAATCTTAAAACCAAACTACATATTCAGGCTGGCATGATATTGCATTATTTTTATCTTTAATTCCAGCACTCAGGAAGAAGAGGAAAGCAGATCTCTGAGTTCGAGGCCAGTCTGGTCTACATAGTAAGTTCCAGGACAGCTAGTGATATGTAGATAAATACTCAAAAAACCAAAACCACATCAACAAAAAACATATATTCAAATAAAGCACATAACATATATAAATACATATACAGACACATATAAAACCTTTACGTTTGAATCCTGTACTTAAAAACAAAATAAAACCAACAACAACCAAAAACAAAACAAAACAAAAAAACAAAAAACAAGCCCCACCATTTCCTACCCTCATAGTCCATGAGGTAAAGTAACAGAAAACTAAGACATCCAAAACTGTATCTGAAGAGCCCCTTAAACAGTGATCTGGAAAGCAGTCTCTAAAGAAGCTGGAAATGATTATTTAATCCTGCAGTCTCTGGGAATACCAATTCAGTGTATATACAGAATGTAGATTAACTTGCCTCTATCTTCATAGCCTTTGGCTGAACCACATAGATTTTGTTCCTATAGCCACACCAGACTTTGTCATGTACCACAGTCATGCATCGTATGGAATGGTGAGGACGTCCAAGGTCTAAAAGGTGATAGTTTGACAAGTCCCACTGTCCATCTTTAAAACAAGAATATATGATAGTTAGTCACAGCACTCATTATTGATGCGGCGCTAAAGACCATGGATTAAGTGTGCCTTTACCTGTACTAGTTACAAACTGGAAGAGAGCACAATGAATGTCTGCTCCAACTTGCTACCTGCTAACTGGATTCCCTTTTAAGCACTTTTCAAAAGAGGTAATGTAGTTTGGTGTGGTGGTACACACCTTTAATCCTAGCACTGGGGAGGCAGAGGCAAGCAGATTTTTTTGTGGTTCAAGGTTAGTGTGGTTTATATATTGGTCCAAGCTAACCAAGGTACTTAGTAAGACCTAGCTTAGAGAGACAGGGAGAGAGTGAGACACACACAGAGAGAGGCAGAGACAGAGACAAACACAGGAGAAAAAAAAAGCCAGGGCCGGGCAGTGGTAGTAACTGCCTTTAATCCCAGGCGGATCTCTGTGAATCTGAGAGTCTGAGGTCAGTCTGGTCTACAGAGTGAATTCTAGGACAGCCAAGACTGTTTCACAGAGAAACCCTGTCTCAAAAAACAACAAACAAGGTAGAATGGTACTATGACAAACTAGTTGTAGGCTATCTGAAAATAACAGTTTTTTTAGAATTAGAATGGATTTAGGGATTGGGGCATAATTTAGAAGTACAGTGCAAAATTTTTCTTAAATCAAGTAAACTAAAATTATTTTTTAAAATAGGATAAGGCTGTGTGTGATGGCCTTTTAATCCCAGCTTCCAGGAGGCAAAAAACAGGTGGATTTAAGGCTAGCCTGATCTATATAGCAAGTTCTAGGCTAGCCAGGGCTACATAGTGAGACTCTATCTTTAAAAATCAAACAAAAAAAGAGATAAAAGAAAATTATCCTTGCCAAATGTTTTCTAATTAAGTATATGAAAAAAAATTTTTTTGCTGTATTACACTATATAAGGGCACCAAGAGAGTGGGAAGATGGCTCAGTAGACAAAGTGTTTGTTGGTAAGTGTGAGAAACTAAGCTTAGATTCCCAGAATTTATGTAAAACAGGAACTGGAAACAGGAGAATTTCTAGAAACTTGGAGGTCAGCTAGCCTGGCACACACATCAGTAAATAACAAAAGACCCTATCTAAAACAAGGTAAGGCGATAACAACCAACACAAGGTTGGTCTGTCAAACACACATCACATGCATGCCCATATTCACATACATGAACATTTATGTACACATACCATAAACATGCACACAAAGATAATGTGTGTTTTTATGTATGTATGTATGTATGTATGTATGTATGTATGTGTTTGTGTGTGTGTGTGTGTGTGTATAGACAGAAAATGTTAATTCTTTGCTCACTGTGATAAACACACTTGTCCATTAGGAATGCCTAGTGCATACCTCCACAGAGGCATCCATATATTTATTAATGTATATCACCAATATCCCCCAACTTCATTCTCTTTTTAGGTATCATTTCTTTCAAAAATGGTAAGCCAATCTACTTAAAATGCTCTGCAAAGCAACATGGTGTACAATGTTATAAAAACTCACCAACTCCTCTGTGGAAGATTGCAAGGGTGCCATCAGCTAGGGCCACTAGCACAATTCCTTTCACATGTCTGCAAACAGGAAAACGAATGTCAGAACCTCCACTCTGGAGCACAGAATGGACCATGTTATTGAGCTGGTGCATAGTCTCTTAAAGGGCCAGTTTGTGAGCATCTTGTTATGGAAACATGTCATAGAAACTAATGCACAGCATGTGGGTGTTTTGCTTTCTAGCTCAAGGCTCCTCCTCTCATTTTATCTTAGCATAACTCTACAGACCAGATACACATCTTGACTGGAACTAACAGAGTCTGTCCTGTAGATTTAGGAACAAACCGTTGGAATTTTGCCAGTCAACATATGAAAAAGGATTAGTAAACCAATGACCTAATCAATGTATTTCCAAACTATGAGGAATAGTCTGAAACAAATGCAGAACCACTAAAGTGAAGATTTAATCTGGAAAGTTTTCTACTTAAATGTTTTCTAGTCTTCTTTCCATTATTGAATGTCATCCTCAGTTTCTCTAGTTACACTGTTGTGGTGGTTTGAATGAGCTGTCTCCCATGGTCATGGGTATTTGAATACTTGGTACCCAGTTAATGGTGTTGTTTGGGTAAGTGTGGTCTTGTTGGAGGAAGTGTATCACTGGAGGCCAGCTTTCGGAGTTTAAACGACTTGCATCATTGTTAGTCTGCGCTCTCTACTTTCTACTTGCAGTCCAAGGTGTGAGCCCTCAGCATCCTGCTCTAGCCTGCTTGCTGCCATGCTTCCCTGTCATGATGAACTCATTTCTCTGGAACCATAAGCTCAAATGAGCCCTTCCTTCTGTAAGTTGCCTTAGTCATGGTATTTTATCACAGTAATAGAAAGTAACTAAGATAATGGTTAAACCAACAAGCAAATAAATCAAGCTTGTATACTGATTTATCATGAGAAACATGTTAACTTTAAAGTCTTAGAATCTATTTTACACCAAAATCAAATCTTTTAAAAGGAATAATTTTAAAAATAAGACTTACACAATACTGAGGATTGAGTCTTTAAGCTTAATTGAATGGAGACATTTCCTCCACTGGGCTACAGATGAATGGACATACAAACTGCAGAAATAAAGTCAGGATTGTTAAGGCACAGGGTATCACCAATGCTTCTCTCTAACAATGACTACAGGTACCCCCAAAAGGAAAAATCATTCAATTTTTAGGAAAAGGGTTTGATATTTTTATATGAAAAGAGAAAGAACAAGGGGTAGGAAGAGGGAAGGGGGAGAAGGAGAGGGAAAGAGAGATAGAGACAGAGAGGAGGGAAGAAGGGAGGAGAGAGAGCAAGGACCAAAGGCAGAAGAACAGGCTATTTTACACAAGTAGAAACATACGAAAACCAAAAAAGCTAGAATTACTATTGATACTTGAGCTAACTTTGGCTTCCCCCACACCTTAAGCATTTCTGCATAAAACCCTGTACATGAATAATTCAACATCTCCATTACACTGAACTTCTGAATGACAGAGTGATTCACATAAGACAGTGGCTGACTCTACACAGCCTGCAGGCTAAGCCAGAGTCCTAGGGAAAACATACATAAGTGACCCTGCTTAACCTTTGGAAAGAGGCCCCACAGTATTAATAAGTGAAAATCTGTGCACAGGCCTTTAATCCTAGCATTTAGGAGGCAGTGGCTGGCAGATCTGAGTTCAAGGCCAGCCTCATCTTATGGAGAGTGTTCCAGGACAGCCAGGTTACACACACACACATACACACACACACACACACAAAACCTGTGTAAAAGAGGCCCCCCCTCCAAAAAAAAAAAAAGTGAACAAACCATGTAACATAGATCATCATTTTCTGAGCTTTCAAATCCTGATTTGTTCATTTTTAAAAAAGATTTTTAGAATTCTGTGTATTTGCCTGCAAGCATGTCTGTGCACCATGTGTGTACTTGATAACTGTGGAGGCCTGGAACCAGCGTTATAGACAGACGCTGAGCTGTCATGTGAGTGCTAGGAACTGAACTTGATCTTCTGCAAGAGCAGCAAGCACTCTTAACCAATGAGCCATCTCTGAAGCCCCATTTTTTTATTTATTCTCTCTCCCTTTTTGTTGGTGAGCCAGGAACTCGCTTTGTACACCGGGCTGGCCTGGAACTCAAGAGATCCATCTGCCTCTGTCTCCTGAGTGCTAGGATTAAAGGTGTGCACAATTTATTCTTAATTCTATACCAGATTTAATTTTTTTTTTTTTAGCTAGAATCTTGTTTTAGTCCAGGCTATCCTAAAATTTATGATCCTGTCTCAGCATTCTGTGTATTCTAGTATGGGCATGCACCACCAGTCTAACTCAGATTTAAAAATCTTATTTACCTTTTCTTTTAAGAATATTACATAAATAGAACATTCTGTAACAAAGAAAAATAATTTACCATTTAGAACTAATGGAAGTCTAGTTTATGAAAGTTGCAATAAAACTTCAAATTTTGTGTGTATAAAGTTTTTGTATTAATCTATACTTTATGTTTACTACATTTCATTTATCTTTCTTTTGTTTAGGGTTTTTGCTTTTGTGAAGAGGGTCTCACTTTGCTGCACAGCCAAGGTTATTGTGAAGGTTCCGTGGCCCAAAATGACCTTGATTTTGCAATCCTCCTCCCCAATCTCCCAAGTGCTGAGATTACAGGCCTGCACTATCATGTCTGCCTCATTTCTTTAGAATGTCAAATGTAGACGCAGAAGACTAAGGATATTGTAAAATTAGGATGCTAGTACTTACCAGCCATTTTGAGCTCCAAGCCACATGGTTGGTAAAAGACTACTCATTTTCTGAGCTTCTTCTCTCGCCAGGTCTTGCTCATTTGGCAATACTGATATCTGATCTTTGTACACATCTGAGTCATTACTGGGAATGAAGCACAAAGGAAGAAACCTACCCTGAGTATACATATTAGCTTTAGTTTTCAGGATTAAACAGTTCTACATTTAAGCTTACCACAGTGAACAAACAGCAAGATTCCAGAAAAGCCAATGTTAAATGCTTACACATTAAATAGTTCACAACTGGACCAGAAATGCTAACAAGTTTTAGTGGAAGTTCATAGTGGAGAAAGGGGAATAAGATTTAATAATGTTACTCATCAGTTAATAGCCAAGACTTTAATTACAGCTCTCAAAAAGAAGAAAAGCCAAAAACCAACCAAATAAAAACACAATAGAAAAATTTATGGCTTTGTTATTAATTATTTTGAAGTTTATAATAGTTTCTTCTGGGGTGAGATACAGCAAAATATGTTTATATTCCACGATAAATCCCTTCTTTTGGGTTGTCAGGGCATAAGTAGACAATAGAATTGAACTATCTAATTCAAATCGACTTCATCTGAAATTATTTGTAAATGCTAATAAACACTCGGAAGGCAGAGGCAGGTAATCTCTGAGTTCAAGGCACATCTGGTCTACAGAGTTCCAGTACAGCCAGGACAACACAAAGAAACCCTATTTCAAAAATCAAATCAAAACAAAACGAACAACAACAGCAAACAACCAAGACATAAAACAACAAACAAACATAAATAGAAATGAATGGAAAAAAATCTCCAAAGAAAATAAATAGGAGAGAATAAAACTCTCCAAAGTTACTGATTTGGGATGCATACCTTGATTGAAAAACCGGGGAGAGGTCTTCTGGGATCTGAACTCCCAAAGGATCTGTAAATACATGCTCTGTGTACACACCAGGTTGAGAGATGTCCACAGCATCTTCAGTAGACCCTGCATTGCCCTCTGTGGCTTCAGTTGCTTCTTCTGCTGTAGGAACATTTTCGTCAACCTCACTATTTTCGGCTTCCATTTCTATAAAAACATAAACACTCTATGCTGAATGAGTTTTTCGACTCCAATACTTTCACCACATAAACCTGTCTGGAACTCCACTCCACTGACCCCTCCTTGGCACTGCAGTGACATGAAGAACTAGTTCTCACAGTCACTACAGCATCTTTCTGGCTCTCTCACCCTGGCTACTTTAAGATTGACAAGTCTTTAATGTGGCATTTTCAGGATAGGATCAGACTCTCCACACATGTACCTGGTGGCTTTTCTATCACTGGAGAAGCACCGTTGGTACTGGGGGAAGTGGCAGTTCCTGTCACTCCTTCTGTGGAACACCCAACCACTGTGATGCCTCCCAGTAAGCTGTCCATCTCGGCAGAGCTGTTGCTTGTCATGCTTCCACACAAAGATGCTTTGTCTACCTGACCAGATTCAGAAAGTTCTTCTCCTGCAGGGTAGTCTGTTTCCCGGGCTCCTAAAAAAAAGCAACTTTCTCTGAATACCCAGTAAACTAAGAAGTAGCTTTATCTAACCTATTAAAGCAACTTAAGGTATGAAATGCGAGGACACAGGAGAAACACACGGCTACTAGAATATACCAAGAAGTTAATCTTGATAAAATGAAAAAGTAAATTTAGAGGTAAAGTAACATTTCAATTAGTTCATATTCCAATGACAAAAATGTTAAGAGATAATACCTTTTTTTTTTTTTTTTTTAAATTTTGCTTTGTGTGAGATAGGGCCGGCAACATGGTTATTAGGTAAAAAGCATCCGCTGCACAAACCTGATGACCTAAGTTTGGACCCTGCAACCCACCAGTGAGAAGGTAAAACCTACTCCCAAAAGTTGTCCTCTGGTTTCTATATATGCACTGTGGTATGAGTGCACTCCTACACACAATAATAAATTAATAATATTTATAATATGGGTTTATTAACATTAGACAACAATTAAAAGGTGTGTGATTTTTGGAGACAAGGCCTCACTTGATCTACATTGGCCTTGAACTCTATGTAGTCAAGCTGACCTTAGAGATCCTCCAGTCTCCACCTCCCAAAAGCTGGGATTACAGGCATACACCACCACACCTGGCTAAACCATAATAATACAAAACAGAAAAGATGACAGTGCAATGCTCAGTTGGCAAAGCACCTGCTGCACAAGCTGCTGCCCCAGATCTGATCCTGGTGGAAGGAAAGAATCAATGCTATAAAATCTTCTGACCTCTGTACATGTGCCATGACTTATACAGTCTCTCTACACACCACACACATACACAATAAAAATAAAATTTTTAAAGACTGAAAAGAGTCTTGTATTTCAGGAATTAGTAACAATTTATACAGCCAGGCGATGGTGGCGCATGCCTTTAATCCCAGCACTCGGGAGGCAGAGGCAGGCGGATCTCTGTGAGTTCGAGACCAGCCTGGTCTACAAGAGCTAGTTCCAGGACAGGCTCCAAAGCCGCAGAGAAACCCTGTCTCGAAAAACCAAAAAAAAAAAAAAAAAAAAAAAAAAATTATACAGTAAGTAAAAAAGAAAACTAAACAGTGGTCAAACAGTCAATATACAATGTAATCACTTAACAAATGGGACCAAAAAATTAATGTAAATCATGCATCATATTCAACTTAATACCTGGTTTCACTCCCCACAAACACAAAAACAGATTGACCCAAATTAACTATTAACTATATCTATTAATTTATACTTTCATCTGAAAATTTTTCCTTTAAGGGGAAGGGTTAGAGACAGAATTTTGCTGCATAGGGTCAGGCTGGCCTTCAATCAGTTTGCCTCTGCTTCACAAGGATTGGAATTATAGGAATGTGCCACAACACCTGGCCTTCCACCTGAAATGAATATTTAAGTAGAAAACATATCTCTAGCTCCTATAGTTCTAGTTTTCTACCGACATTTCCAAATTCACAGTACTTCTCATATTTGGGCAAAGGTTAAAATTGTAGCGAGCAATATCTTATCAATTGTGTGTGTGTAGAGGGGTGGTATCAAGACAGGGTTTCCCTAGCTGTGTCCTGGAATTAGCTCTGTAGACCAGGCTGGCCTCAAGCTCACAGAGATCTGCCTATCTTGAAAACAAAACAAACAAACAAAAAACATCTTAAGATTATTGTGATTACTACTTGAAAAATGTATACTTCTATATACTGTAATAAAAAATATAATGGCTTCAAATACTAGTAAGACATTAAAAAATAAGCATTTACAATGGAAAACCACTTTCATTTCTATCACATCAAAAGATATTATGCTTTTTATTTATCTTTTTTTTTTTCCCCGAGAATATAGCCCTTCTCTATATATCCCTTGTTGTCCTAGAAGATCTGTAAACCAGCTTGGCCTCAGAGACTTATCTGCCTCTGCTTTTGAGTACTGGATTAAAGGCTTAAAGACACGTGCTACCACCACCTGGCTTTAAAGTTTATTTTAAAGTTGTTTTTTAAGAAGGAGATCAAAGATATCCTCATCCAGTATGATTGTACCCTGCTTGTAGTTGATCCTCATCACTGTGAATCCAGAAAGTTGGGAGGTCCTGATGCCCGTGCTTGATACCAGAAATCCTACTGAAAAGCCCAACTGAAGGATCAGGGTTTACCCTTGTAATAAACATCCTAGAGTTCTAATGTTTTTTTTTTAAAAAAAAAAAAAGTAAAGGGCTGGAGAGATGGCTCAGTGGTTAAGAGCATTGCCTGCTCTTCCAAAGGTCCTGAGTTCAATTCCCGGCAACCACATGGTGGCTCACAAACCATCTGTAATGAGGTCTGGTGCCCTCTTCTGGCCTGCAGACATACACACAGACAGAATATTGTATACATAATAAATAAATAAATATTTTTTAAAAAAAGTAAAAAATAAATAAAGTAGTTTATTTTTTTTTAAATAATATAAAAGTTGTCAGTTAAGCCTTTTGTTTCTCTTTTGGAGACAGAATCTCACTATGTAGTTTAGGCTGACGCTGTCTCAATGTCATTCCTTTTATGGCTGACTAATATATCTGAACTACTGTTTTAATTTTACATAGCAATCCCAGAATTTCAGGTGACCTTCCTGATTACTAATTAATCTAGGGAGTTCATCAGCCTCTATCAACAAGTTATCTTCTCATATTGCCATTTTTTTATATTCTTCACAATAGCTGAAGAACATATCGTTATTCAATGACTTCCGGTTTACTTTAAATCTTCTCTTACTAGGACATAAAATCTGTAACAGCAAACACATTAGCATAGTTCTATCAGCCAGACCCATTTCTCCCTGGGAGGAGGCAGACACTTGCTTTACCTGGGACACTCGCAATGCACAGAACATGAGAGTTGCAAGCAGTGAAACTGTCGAGGATGTTGCCAGGCTGAACAGCATCGATGATGATAACCTTTGTAGCTGAATGGGTGCTGGTACAGATCCACACTTGACTGGACAATTCTTCTTGATTTTTTAATTCTTTCTGCTGTTCCTGAGTAGGCAGAGGAAAATGTTTAAAATTATATGAATGTGAAAATATCCCTAAAACTGTGTTCTTAAACTAAAATGCACTATTATTTCAAAATATATTCAGATTGTTTAGAAACTACAATTGTTTATCAGTATTACTACACTAAAACTTAGTTGTTAAGCAGATTGGTGATTAGAAAAAAGTCGGTATTTTCTTTGTGGTAGTAGTCATACACATTTGGCAATATATTTGAATATATGTAAATAACACTTCAGTAAAATGAATGTTAAAGGAACATACGGAGAAAACAGCAAGTTCACAGTAATCTCCAGTACAGGATGCCTCAAATAAGTTTTGTATTTAAGAGCTGAACTCCTACACTCATAAACCAGGAGGTCAAATATTAGTGCGCACTTACCTTGAGTTCTTGATCCAACTTATCTAAACTACTCTGAGATGCACTTCGCTGTTTACTGCCTTCAGTGTCCAGCCCAGCAACATCCTTGTAAAATACACTTGCTCCAACAACAGAGCCACCGTCTCTAGTCTTGCCACCAGATAAGTTGACTCCTACAGCACACCACAGCTTTTCAGAGGTAGGGGTAGGAAAGAAAGGTATTATGTCACTTTTTATCTCTACACATAATAAGAAAATTTTCACCTTTTCTTAAAATGGGTGCTTTAATATACTCTAATGTTGTACATTGGGTGCGGGGTGCACTTAGGAGAATGAGGAAGAGATAAAGGGTTCAAGGCTAAAATAGGGAAGAAAAAAAAAGGAGTTCAAGGCCATCCTGGATTATAATACTGAGATTCTGTCTCAAAATAAAAAAAATTACCAAGTTTTAAAATGAGCAATCATTTTACTAACAAAAGCACCATTTAGGTTTTTTTTCCTTTTTTTTTTTTTTGAGGGGGGTCCACCTAGAGTTTAAAAAGTCTGTCCTTCAGTGTCACAATTAGCTTACCTTCATGGATGCATCTTTTTCATCCAGTGGTCTAAGATAAACAGGCACGGGTAGATTTTTCATCTTATTTTCCCCTTGACCATTGGCCACCTAATGGGGGAGGGAGGAGATACATATTTGCTCCTGAAATCAAGTTCAGCTTGATTCTGTCACTCTGACTAAAAAATAAGCAAAATCTCAAGTAGCAATTACAGACAATAAGTAGACCAGTTCAACATGAGGCAGAAGTTCACAATCACACATTCGCACACCTAAGTATGTATTTGTACACAAAAAACGTTTAGTCATTTAGGAGTGTATAGATCTGGAGTGTTTTATTTCTATTATAGGGCTCTAGAAAATAGCCTAAAAACCCCTATTCTCTGTATTTCTCTAACTGTGCCAAATCCAATAAAATGAGCAATTTATGATATTTTCAGTTCACATTATCCAAGCACATGTCACTCAACCTGCATTTTCTGCTGGACACTCTTCTCACATTCCCAGGTTACCTGTTTGTACTTCTGAGGCAGACTCCAGCCAAAAGCTTGCACGCGACCATCTTCCTTCTGAACATGTGCCTTCACCTGCCGATACTGCTCTCTCTTTTGCTCTCTGCGGGAAGCTAAACTAGCCTCAGTTCTAAAAGAAGACATTTGTAGTTTTAATTAAGTGAATGAAACAAGACCTATAATCCCAGCATTTGAGTCGGCCACCCTGAGGTACATGACCCACACGCACATACTCCGACACCAGGATTATACCAAAGCTGATCTTTCCAGGTTTGTGAAATCAGCCTTCTGTAGGTAGTAAGCATGTTGTATTAAATTATTAGTCACCAAAGTTATGAAATTTCATATGCTATATATGAAAGGGAAAAGTTCTGAAGTAATCTGGGATCTTCCTTTTCTTATTTGACAAATACTAAGAATTTTCTAATGCCAGATATTGTGTTATAGTATGCTTAGGTGGGTGATTAAGTCAAACTTTTAGATTCTACTCTTTCATTTTTTAAAATTTATTTATTTTAATTTCATATATTTTGAGTATTTTGTCTAAAAGAATGTCTGTGTACCATACGAATGCCTGGTTTTCTCAGAGGCCAGTAGACAAGAGCCTTGGATTCCTTGGGATTAGAGTTTCACATCATTGCAAGCCACTATGTGGGTGCTGGGAACTAAATCCAGGTCCTTTGGAAGAACATCAGTGTTCTTAACCTCTGAGCCATCTCTTTAGCTCCTAGTCACTTATTTTAGAAGACAAAAAGGCCAACTGACTTAAGCAAGCTTTAAAAATATGGAGCAAAATATAAAAATAATTCTAAAATTAATTTCTCTTTCTTTTGGCCATTTATACTTTTGTGAGGTTACTTTCTGTATAAACCATAGTTTACAAAATTTACTGGTGTGTCAGACACTATACATAGTGTATAATTTTAACCTAGCACGTTTGAAATAATTTTTCAGAGAGGAAAAAATGGGCCCTGAGAGATTAATTTGTTCACAGAGTCAGAAGGGAAAACCAAGTCCTTCTGACAACCAAAGGAAATGTTAAAACACTTAGGATTAAAGGCTTAAATTAAGTATTCAGTATTTCTATTGATATTTATCAATACTGTTGTGTCAATAAAAATTCCTTTTCCTTATGAAAACTATGGAGTGCAATTTTCTTTTTTTTTTTTTTTTTTTTTGTTTTTCGAGACAGGGTTTCTCTGTGGCTTTGGACCCTGTCCTGGAACTAGCTCTGTAGACCAGGCTGGTCTCGAACTCACAGAGATCTGCCTGCCTCTGCCTCCTGAGTGCTGGGATTAAAGGCGTGCGCCACCATCGCCCGGCCTGGAGTGCAATTTTCTTTCAAAATTGTATTACATCTTATTTAACATGTGTTTGTGCGTGTGTGTGCATGTGTTATTGTGTTTCTGGGAGGCCAGGGGACAACTTGTGGAAGGCAGTCCTCTCCTTCCAACACAGAGGTCCCAGGAATCAATCTCAACTAAGTGCAAGTTCAATAAATACTGGCTACAAGTCTCATTCATTCATTCATTCATTCATTCATTCATTCATTCATTCATTCTTTAATGAAAGCCACAGTCTTACCCTGTGGCCCACAATGTTTTCAAAAGTGCAATCCTCCTGCCTCAGTTTCCATAGGTTTAGGATTACACTGCTTAGCCCTATAGGTAATTTACTTAAAAGGCATCCATCCACTCACGTTACTTAAAACCCATCCTTGTTTTTTCTTCTCCTCACAACTCCATCTCACAAAATAGTTTCCTTTGTTCTTTAAGACGGGATTTAAGTGTGTAGCTGATGTTAGACTGAACTGTCTATTCACATCAGGCTGGCCATGAATTAGGGATGATCCTCTTCTATCAGTATCCTGTGTACTGGGATTACCAGGCTAAACTATTACGTCTGGCTAGCAACAGTTTCTTTAGAGTTATTGGAAGCCCTGTGAAGTAAGTGGTGAAAGATTCTAACTATGAACTTACTCTGGGCGTGACCATTGCTTGGAATACTTACTCCTCACTAAGGAAATCAAATGCCTTGGACTTATCGCCAGGGAGCTGAGATAGGGTGCTGCTCCTTTTCTTTACGGAGGGAGTCACGTGAGAAGTGGGTGCATTGTACTTCAGATTCACAGGGGGTTCAGGCTTCTTTGTTGCATTACTTGAAGAGCTAAAAAGTCGGCTGAAACTAACAAAACAAGCAAACAAAGAAAATCCACAAGTATATCTATTATATGCACTGTTAAAACCAATCCCTGATTTTCTATAAGTTTTTATGCTCAAGAAAACTTCAAAGACTTTACATGGCAGTGAGTTAGACAATAGCAAAACCAGTTTTATAGTTATACTTTAGCTTGAGCAGTCAGTCACAGCTAAACTTGGACATTCAGGGGAAAGAAACTATTGCTTAGAATGCCAGACACCTAATAAGCAAGTTCCATAATGAAAGAGATGCTCCTGCATATAGAAAGCTTCTACTGAACAAACACAACGCGAAGGTTCCCAGCCAGCTCCTACTGGGGACGATGTCACGGTGGTTGTCAAGCAGCAAGGTAATGACTGTGATGACAGCGGAAGCTTAGTGTGCAGCACGTACAACAGTCACTTCACCAAGTCAACTCATACCATGAATTCTCTAAGTTCAATTTAAGTAACTATTTTCATGTCCACAGTTTTAAAATATTTATGCTTCCAGTAAACAGACTAATCCTAAAAGGGTAAGTTTTAACTTCAGTAAACACACAGTACTTCCGGTACAAACATAAAATAGCTTAACACATACAGACAAACCAAGCAGTACAAATACTAAATTTCTTATCTTTTTTTGATGGGGATACATGTGACTGTCAATTTTACAAATAATTCCCCACTATTTTATGTAAACTGACAGAAGATTCCACCAAATGCATAACCAACACAATGCAGCTTACGATAGACAACTTTGGGTCCTCAAGCACAGCCTTACCGAGTTGGCATGCTGTATATTAAAGAGAAGAACTTCTGTTTAGCTATTTCCTCCTAACTGGGAAAAGTCTTGAAGCATCACCTATGCTTATGGTCCTCAGTGTACTTACAACTGCCAGATGCTTGACCTTTTCTTTTCTTGCATGGCTGGATTTTCTCGTGATGCCCTAAATTTTAAAAGAAAGTATTATTATTATTATTATTTTATTACATAGGTGTTCTACTCTTTTCTCCAAAGAGCAAAAGACTGACAAAATTCATGGGATATACAGAGTCAACAATTAAATTTAGCAAACAGTTGCTTTGATCTTTCATGAAACAACCTGCTAAATCTAACACTGCTTAAAGCAATTACTAAACCTTCTTAAAAAGCTCAGACTCTTGACAGGTTATCCCTATGTTTGAGAAATACCCAACAAGCCTCAATGTTGATGTAAAAAATGTTCTACTTTTTTGTTGTTGTTAATAAATGAGATCTCACTATGTTGTATAGACTAGGTCTGAACTCTTGGTCCCCTTTCAAGTGGCTAGACTACAGGAGCATACCACTATGACTAACAGTATGAAAGTATTTAAGATGGCTATAATGGCACATAACTCTAGTCCCGGAACTCAGGGGGCTGAGGCAGAAGGATCACAAGTTTGGGGCCAATTTGGAGCCAGAACTTCCCTCAAAAATAAAAAAAAAGTAAGAAAAAAAATTGAAACGATATACTCTAGCTCCTTCTTTATAATACTGCTTTATAAATCCCTGTTCTTACCTGAAGTTTTCTTTCTTTCTTTTCTTTTTTTATCTACACTCTTAACTCACAAAACAGCTTGCAACCACACTGCAGGCCACATAATAAGTAAGCAGTGCTAAAAATGATGTAATTAGAAGGAAGTAATGGTTGGAAGTTAGATTTATAGACTAGTTTATAAATTTGATGTGATAATCCAAACTCAAGAATATGAGTAAATTATTGGATAGTCAGGTGGCAAACTTTTCAAGAGCTAGATGCCAGCAATAGATAAGTTTTAAGAGCCAATAAAGGACAGCTATGTGTCCCCTCACAGGTGCTAGTTTAAAAAGGAAGTCAGCTTGAATGCAAATGAGTAAATTACTAGAGGATAGAAGTGGGGAGAGTAAATAAAGAGAGGCCGCTGGATTTGATGATTGAACTGCACTGCATGCACACACTGGCATTAAACTCTATCAAATATGAACCATTAAAACATGTTAATGATAAAAACAAGGATCTAATTGGCTGAAAGATGCCAATAGAAGGTACATTTTGCATGAAGAAAAATGAGGGGGAAGTCAAGTGTATTTTATAAGAAGATATTAAATAGTTATTTTTTTCTATACTGCATGTTAAATTGACAGAAAAAGAATAATGTCAATTTTCATGTTTTAAAAAAAAGGTTAAGGTCCTGTACTATCTCAAAAGACACCTAGTCTTTGGGCTATATCTGATCTTGTCCTATGACTAATCTAAATGTTAACTCAGAAAGTTTCTCCTAGTGAACAAATCAAATGGCATGAGCCCTCAGGCAACACTCTAGTTGGCAACAAAGAGTGCATGCATCTAAGGAAACAATAAGAAACATCAGGGAACTCATCATACGGACCGGATCATCTCTGTCCATCGAACAGCTTCTTGAAGCTCCATCAGCCTCTCTTTGTACTGGTTTCTCTCCATGAGAACTCGGGCCATTTCCACTCTAGTAAACCTCTTCCTCTGGGCTGTGGGAATGTCACTCTACAATGATAAGAGGAGGGCAAATCACCCTGAAGTATATGTTTTGGTGTTAACCTCATACTGAGACCAAATCTTTAAATTATAAACATTTCTTTCAGTTTACTAAAGAAATGTTTTAACTTAATGACTTTAAAATGTCCTTATAAAATAAGGACACCACTCAAATTTTTATTTAGGACTAAAAGGAAGTAGGCAATTTAATTTCTGAATATAAATATTAATATTGGGCATGTAAAAGAATTATTAAAATTACAAATTTTCAGCAAATAGAGAGATTTAATATGCCCTCATAAATTTTACTTGGAAACATTATTCTAACATTTTAAATTCATGGCCTGCAACATTCAGAAAACGGTTACAATTAGTTCCAAAAGAGGTTCATTTACTTCAAATATCAATCCATATACATATCCAGAAGTCAACATAAATAGTGAACCTATTATCTAGTTGCTAAGGAACCAGACCATAACAGTAAAAACAAAGAACAACAACGAACCACCAGCGGAAACGCAAGATTAAGTCAGAATTATTGCTACAGGGAATAGGATATGAATATGGAAGCCATACAGAAGTAAGGCTCCAAAGCGCATATCCAAGTTAACTTCCTTCTGCTGTTCATCTCTCAGTCTTCCTCTGCGGAGCAGGTAGGTTTAATGATAGGGTTTTGTTTGGTGGAGAGGAGCATGTACATTTTAGATCGAGATTGAAATCTTGGAACATCTCAGCAGTCTTCCACCTGTCTTCCTGCCTCAGAATTTAGCCCACTCTTCAAACAAAAGCCATCCACAAATAACAAAAGGACTAAATTCTGCCTAGAGGCAAGTGGATCTCTGAGTTCGAGGCCAGCCTGGTCTACAAAGTGAGTTCCAGGACAGCCAGGACCACACAGAGAAACCCTGTCTCTAAAAACAAAACAAAACAAAACAAAAAAACAGAAATAAAGAAAGACCCAAATTCAGCAACACAGTAATAATAGTACTACTACATACATACTCTGGGAGGGGAGGAGGTCCAGAAGCCTTCATACCAAAGACTAGTATAGTACTATAATGTTGTTTTCTTTTATTGGAGGGTGTTGATGTTGAGGTAAGCTCTCACTACATATGTAGAGCCTGTCTATCCTGGAACTCCCTATGTAGAATAGACTGGATTCAAAGTCACAAAAGACCTCCTGCTTTAAGTGTTGGGATTAAAGGGGTGTACTATTATTCCTCGCTGCTTTTTGTTTTAAACAAGATCTCACTATGTGTAATATAGGCTAGTACAAGTGACCTCCCTACACATAGCCCAAACTTCCTACTACAGTCTTTTGACATGTAAACTGGCCCCTATAATATCATAGGAAGTGGCACTATTAGGGTATGTGGCTGTTGGAGTGGGTATGGCCTTGAAGAGTGACACTGTGGGGGCGGGCTTTGAAGTTTCCTATGCTCAGGATATCTCCTGTCACCTGCAAGATACAGTACTCTCAGCTCCAGCACCACATCTGCCTGCATGCCACCATGTTCCCTGCGGTGATGATGATAATGGACTGAACCTCTGAAACTGTAAACAAGCTACCCCAATTAAATGCTTTCTTTAGAAGAGTTGTCGTGGTCATAATGTCTCTTCACAGCAATAGAAAACCCTAAGACAACAAGCAAATACTGTACCTAGTTTATTATAATGCTTTTTTATAATTTATTTTTATTTTATGTTCATTGGTGTTTTGCCTGCATGTATGTCTGTGTGAGGGTGTCAGATCCTCTGGAACTGGAATTACAGACAGATGTGAGCTGCTATGTGGGTGCTTTGAACCATTTCTTCATAATGCTTTTAGCAACAGCATCATTTGTTGTGATAAAATATTTGTTGTGAAATACCCAAATATTCACTAACAAGAAAGCAGAAAAACTGTAGCGCATTCATATAATGGGATGCTAAGAATGAACTATAGCAGTTATTATTACAACACAAGAGCATCTCAAAGCATTCTTAAAAACCCCAGCAAATCTCCAAGATGGAATATAGTGTTTCTGTGGTACTAGGGATTAAACCCGGGCCTCAAGCATGCTAGCCAAGTGTTCTACAACAGAGTCAAGCCCTCTGTTCCTAAAGGTGGTATGAAATAAAGCCAGCACCATACTTTGTAGAAATATACAGAAGTAGGTAATTTAATTTCCAAATACAAACATATTATTTTAATATTTTATTAAAGAATTATGATGCTGGGTGTGGTGGTGCAGGTTTTTAATCCCAGAACTCAGGAGGCAAAAAGCGGGCAGATCTCTATGAGTTTAAAGATAGCCTGATCTACACAGTGAGTTCCAAGTCAAACAGGGGCTACAAAGTGAGAATCTTTTAAAAAGGAAAATTAGTACATATTTTGGGGAGGAGATAAAAAAATTTAGCTGTCATTTACACAGACTTGTTATGCTATTTTAAGATCTTCATGGAAATGTCAATTATGTGTGTGTCTCCTCGTTCCCTTCCAGTGCAATGATAAAACAGTGACCAAAGGTAACTCAGGGGAGGAAAGAATTTACTGGGTTTATACTTCCGGGTCAGAGTCCAACAAGGGACTCAAAGGACAAACATAAACAGAACTTAAGCAGAAACCACGAAGAAATGTTACTTACTGGCTTGTTTTCTAGCCTATGCTTGGGGAGCTTTCCTATAGAGCCGAGAATCATCTGCCTAGGGATGGTTCTACCCATAATAGTATTTATTGGCTCTCCTGTATCATTTAGCAATCAAGACAATCCCTACAGACCAGCCCAATGAAGACAACCATTCAAGTGAGACCTTTTTTTTAAGTGATTAATTATAGTCAGCAACAAGTTGACAGTTCATTAAAACTAGACAATTGTACACATTTATATGATGAAAATTTTTTTTTTAGTTAAATAAGAAAGGATCATGGATTTCTCAGGGGTGAGGGGCATTTTTGGCAACATAACTTAGTGTGCCTATCTATGTGTTTTGTGTGTAATGTGTATCTATGTATGTGTCTATACACATAGATGCATATATTCTACAACATACATGTGGACAACTTGTGGGAGTCAGATCTTTCTACTATGTGATCCTGTGGATTGAACTCAAGTCATCAGGCTTGGCAACAAATACCTTTACATGCTGAGCCACCTTTGCAAGTCCATTTAAAAAATTTAATTAATGCCTTCTGCTGGATTCTAGGGATCAGGTATGCATGTGGTATACATACATGTGGGCTGGCAAAAACTTATTTTGTGTGTGTGCATGTGTGTGTATAAACACGTGTGTCATAGTATGTGTGATGTGTGTGATTAGAGGATTTTAAGTTTGAGACCTGTCTGGACTACCTAACAAAACCTTACTTATTAAAATCAGAAACAATAGCATGCTAACACAGGTCAGAGCACTGAACCACTGAGGAAAAGCAAGCACACAGCTCTAGAAAAATCAGCATATAGATATCATATAGAAATGAGAGCCAGTTTATTCACGACCCATAATACTAAATATTAGCAAGAAACTCCCAAATATCAAAAAAGCTGTAAGAAAACACCCCAAATCATAAGCTTACATCATCATCGTCTTTTGCTTTTTGCCTTGCATCTTCAGCTTCTGCACGAGCTCTAGTAGGGGAAAACAAAACAAAACATGTTACTAAATTAATCTTTAAAAATAATGAGAGAAAATATAAACAGCTTTAGTTACCACTACAGAATTTTTTCTTTTTCTTTTTTTTAAAGATATATTTATTTATTATGTATTCAGTGTCTTGCCTACATGTATCCCTGCAAGCCAGAAGAGAGCACTAAATCTCATCATTACAGATGGTTGTGAACACATGTGGTTGATGGGAATTGAACTCAGGACCTTTGGAAGAGCAGACAAAGCTCTTAACCACTGAGCCATCTCTCCAGTCCCAGGATTATTTTTTCTTTTGCCCAAAGGTTAGCAGACTACTGCCTTTAATTTGGAAAACATTATCATAGCACTTTTTTTTTAAAAGATTTATGTATTTATTATGTATATAACATTCTGCCTCCATGCATGCCCACACACCAGAGGAGGGCGCCAGGTCTTATTACAGATGGTTGTGAGCCACCATGTGACTACTGGGAATTGAACTCAGGACCTCTGGAAGAGCACCAAGTGCTCTTAACCACTGAGCCATCTCACCAGCCCCCATCATAGCACTTCTTAAAACAAAACAAAATCAGGTTGGACCAGGTGCGGTGGTGCACACGTATAATCTGGGCATTTGGGAGGTTCAGACAGGAGGATCAGAAGTTCAAGGTCATTCTCAGTTACACAATAAAGCCAGCCTCGGCTATATATGACCCTGTGTCAAAAAATAAACTAAAAAGCTTTGTACCAAATAAAGTAGACTCTAAAAAGAAAAAAAAAAAAAACCTAAAAAAAAAAAAAAAATACAAACCCAACAAGGTTAGCCATGGCAGCATAGGCCTATAATCTTAGCTTCTTGGATGGAGTCAGAGAACAGGTATTCAAGGCCATTCTCTGCTACACACAATGAATTAGAGGCCAGTCACCTCAAGAACAGGAAACAACAACAAGAGCAAATTAAGTAGAGGAAAATAATGAACTTTAACTTTTGTTAAGGTACTGGTAAATAGAGAGGCAGCTCATAGCAGAGGTAAATGGCTGAGACACTTTACTTTCTCCAGGTAGCTCTTGGCCCTTCCTGGTTTGAATGAGCTGAAGGCCTCAGTCTCAGGGTTATACCTACAATCCTTTGTTGCACCCTGGCAAGGTGTTTGGTTTACAGCAGAAATGTGTCCCAGGGCAGGCAGCCATAGTCCCACACACATAGATGGTAGCTTCAGTGTCAAAGGCTAGAAGTGTCTGACTTCCAGCAACTGTTGAAACTTACTTCCTGAGCTCCTCCTCCAGCTCTTTGTTCTTTTCTTCTAGCTTCAGCTTAGCCAGTTTCACAGCCTCCAATTCTCCCTGCAGCACATCTTTCTCACAGGTCAGCTCATCCACTTTTGCTATTAAATCATTCTTTACTACATTCAAAGCATTTCTAAAAAACACATATTTCAAATGTATCATTACAAATAACTTTTCTGTCTTTGAGACTAAAGTAACTGTCAATCATAAAACTGGACAACTGAGAACTTAACATTCTTCCTGATGGTTTTTTACAGACAAGTCCATAAAACAATAGCTTAATGCTTGCTCTTCATACTTACCAAGCTAATAGTTGATAAAACAAGACATACCACTAATAAATGAAATCAGCATTAAGAAATATTAAACCCAGCTAGGCAGTGGTGGCACATGCCTTTAATTCCAGCACTTGGGAGGCAGAGGCAGGCGCATCTCTGTGATTCTGAGATCCCTGCAGTAGCCATTAGTAACTACTGAGAAAGTAGTTTAAGTAGAAATAAACAAAGAAAAAAGTGGAGATATAATACATTCGGATATGTTGGGTGTGACCTCATTTACAGTTACTGGCATTCTGTGTGGATAGACATTACAAATTGACAAGTGGACCCTATCTGCTTCTTCTTCTTCTTCTTTTTTTTTTTTTTTTTTTTTGAGACAGGGTTTCTCTGTGGCTTTGGA